TAAAAATATATAAATTATTTACTGTCCAAAAATGATATATTTAAACATCTGTAATAGATACAATCGATGATCATTAGTAAGAGGAAAAAAAATACTTTTCTGTTCAAAGGAAATAGTAGACAACTAACTAAATATATAGAAAAAAAGAGCTGGTAATATTAGTAACACAGGTTTAAAGTTTCTTTTCTGCTCCTAATAATGTTGGATTAACAACACCACGTGTTGTATATAAATGTTGATCAGTTGGTGTGCCTTGTCCATAATCACCTTTAACAGTAACAACTGGTTCATTTTCGATTTTAGTCGTATGTAAAATACGATCTTTATTTTCTGTACTTTGAACAGGTATTGATAATTGATTTTTTGGTGTTTCTATAATAAAAATTAAATAAATAATATAGATGATTCAGAGATGAGAAAAAAAAACGAACTGTCAAAAAGATTGTTTGATTCATTTTTAACTCGAATATAAACTTGATCAAGTATACAAGCTGATTGTTTAGGATAACATGCACTAAGTGCAACAAGAGCAGCTACGGATGAATAAAATGTTTTTCGTATAGGACCACCTTTATGACCAAGAAGAAGACCACCAAGTCCAGCAATAGTAACAACACCAACTTTAGGTAGAAAGGTTTCATCATCACGTATATAATCAATTGTAGCTAATGAAAAATAAATAAATAATACAAGATGAAAAATTATATGATAAATATACCTTTAGAATGAGCACTACCAGTTTCAATTCCACGTGCAACTCTCGAACGTAATTCCTGTCGATATAAAAATTAGCAAAAAAAACAACAATAACAAGTAATAAACCTTATTATCATTCCATGTTTGTTGAACAGATTGCCTAACTTGACTAATATATGAATAAAGCCAAGTATTATTAGTATTATTTATTTTAGGTTGTTCATCAGCTACACGTGGAACATATCGATAAATATCATCATTTTTTAAATCATAATATATTGGTAACTATATATATATATATATGTAATGATTACTTTGAATTCAATCAAAGACAAAACTTACATCACGAACTCGAACAATACGAGAATTTTGTGTAGTAGAAGTTATATTATTATTGTCTGATGTTTTGGCCATTAAGCTATATTCACAAAATGATGATCTAGAATACTACACAATATTTCATTCAAAGTGTACGTTATTATATCTATCAGTCCAAAAGCCATTTCTTTTAGTCATTGAAATAGTTAACCTATCATAAATCATGACATCAAACGACATCTATACCATTCGATAACAATATATATGTACAAGAAAATATGAGAAGTAAATCATATTGTATCGATGCGTATTTCACTGCAATATTTTAATCGTACTACGATAAAAATATATATTTCTTGATGATTTACAGTCGAAAAATAGTCTCAGTTTGAGATCCTGATTTCGAAGTCTCTTACATACAACATATCGTCGTCTTAAAAAGAAAGATATTTGACCTGTATCAGTGGCGAATTTAGGGGGAGGCGGCAATCGACCCCCCCTCCTCAGGTATCGCCTCTTCCTACTAAAAAATCATCCCCCCTCTTTCAAAATCCTAGATCCGCCACTGCTTTGAATCTAATTTACATATAACAAAAAAAATTTTATTTTCTAATACTGATTTATGAAACAATCTGTAAAAAAATATTGTTCAATAATTAATTGCTAATCCATAATTGTATTTGTCGTTCATTGATTAATTTGAAAGTAAAATTTTTTAAATGAGTGTGTTTTCTTAACCATTGATCGAATTCATTGTCACTATCGAAATAATATGCTAGATTATGAATAGTAATATTTTGTAAATATTTTAAATTTTCGATAAGTACTTCAAGATCTTCTTCACTATAAACATGGCAATTCATTAAATGTTCAAGATTAGGAAATGCTAAACAAAATTTTGTTCGAATTTTACTCGATATATATACACGTCGCAAATCAAGCCAACGTATTTGCGGATATTGAAAATCAATCATTTTATATAAATGATCAGGAAGTGATGATATTGTTAAACGAGTAAGACATGGTGCCATAGTAAGAAGTTGATTAAATACAAAAGGAGTGATGGTACACTCACTATCCAATTTTAAATGTACAAGTGTTGAAAAATCGTTCATATATGGTTTGATTTCACATAGATCTGAAAGTACGTAACATTCTGCGGTACGAGTATTGTGTTTCAAATTTAATGTTTTAATATTTGAAACACATTTAGAAGGAAGAATTGATACTTCATTATGTGGTAAATCGATTGATAGTGTTTCACTTAATTCAATATGTTGTTTGCAATTAACAGGCAATGTATCGGATGGTAATAAACCAATGGTAAATGTCCGATATTTGTTTTGATTATCTGTCCAGAATATCGTTTGAAAACTTTCGAGAAGTTGTTTCGTCATTGTTAATTCAGGTAAAGGAATAAGATCAATCTAAATAAATAAATAATGTTTTATAGACTTTTTTATAGGAATAAAATATGACATACTCGTAAATGAAAGATTTTAAGATGAGGTAAAAATTTTTCGATTAATAGTTGCCACCAATTTCCATCGAGCCATTGATTAAAATCCGATTGATTTCGTTCAATATGAATATTTAAATAAGTTAACATCGTACATGCTTGAATAAATCGTTCAATTTCATCTCGAAAACCATACTTAACTTTAATAGACAAATGAGTTAATGATCGAGGAACATTAAATTCTGAAATGTGATTATCGCCCGAGAATGTTGTTTTTAGACTTAAATTGAGTCGTTGTAGTTTAGGCATACAAATGAAAATGTCTGAAAGATTATCGATTGTTTGAAGATGAACTTGAAGTGTATGAAGATTTTCAGTAATAGGTAATATTTTGAAATTAAAACCCATATTTAATGGTTCATTATTTAAAATAAGAGTACGTAAATTAGATAATTGAAAGATTTTGATCAGCGCATTGTCATGTCTTTTCATATGATTATAATCGAAAGAATAAATTGTTCGAGTTTTAAAATCAATTGTCAAAGTATGAAGACATTCCATTTGTAATAAATTAGGAAAATCTTCTAAATTTCGTAATCGAAGATGTTCGAGTCGTGTAAAACTTTGATTATTAGTAAAAAATAAATCCGTTTGACCAGGAGTTTCTTCATCATCACTTACTGTAAGTGATATAATTTGATCTGGATGAATTATTTTACATATCCAATCGTATTCACGTTTACGTATTGATTGAAAATTAATTTTATAATGTTGATAACTTCGTATACATTGTCTTAAATATCGACTGAAATTATGAAATGAATGAAGAATTTCACTAGCCGTTAAATAAGTAAATACATCAAAGATAAGTTCAACTGGAAATTGATCAAGAACAAGCTGTGGTAAAGGCATATTTTATAATAAGTTTATGAATAAGGCTAGCAGCGATCGTTCGTACAATAAATACATAGCTTAAAATATGTTATTTCGCAATCAACGCCCAAGAATAAATCATATGAATACATGTGCATACCATATATGGCAAGAAATAGTTTAATAACATAAAGAATGACAAATTTTTTTCATGTCCTTATATGGAATGAAACAAACGTGACACTCATTATCTAGACATTTGTTTTTCTCTATATAGAATTGCATAGCAAATGATAAACTATGAAAGCAAATGAATCAGGTGAGATGCGTTTATGACAAAATTTATCACTTTTATTATTATAGAACAAAAAATAAAAAAAAGAGAATTAATAAACGTAACATTAACAGACAATGGATATGAAGGAAATATTTTGAAAGACATATATATCATTTTTTTTCTAGCTCCGAATACTTTTCTTATTTGTAATATAATGAAAAGTGAAACAACAATTGTATTGTACTTGAAGCCAAAACAAATAACAATGTTTTAGCTGAAAATAAATATCCTATTTTTCACAACAGTACATGAAAGAGAATAAAAAATAAGATCTATATATATAACTATTCATCGCCGAATGTGCTCATTGCATTGGGCATAATCACTGGTATGACTGTAAACAGTTCTTTTTTGATGATTTCTAGAACAAATGAATCAATGAATAGTTGTCAATTTAACAGAACAAAAAAAATCATACATATGTATATATACATAGAAAGCACGAGCATTAATGAAACGTTCAAATAGAAAACAGATTTTAAAAAAATTCATAAAATTCTACAATCAAGAAAAACACATTTTTGCATCACATTAAATCGTTTTAAAGGCTGTATATTCTCATACAATAAATATAATTTTGTTTTCTTTCTTCAATTATCATTAATCCATTTTTCGACATTTTTTCTTTTAATATTTGCTGAATTTTCTTCTGTATCTTCATTAATTGATTTTAGACGAGTTTCATCATTATCTGTAAATATTTCATCATTATTATTATTATTATTATTATTATTAATTAAAATATTTTTTGATTGTTCAAAATAATCTTGTTGTTCTATTTGACTTATTGCACTACAACCTGATGGTGTACGTGAATGTGTTTTTGAATGATGTTTTGTTGTTGTTGTTATAGATGTATCATCAATAGTTGCAGCACCATCTGATAAAGTTCGTTGATGTTTTTTATTTGTTGTTGCTGTTGTAGAATTTTTACCCATATCATATGTTCCACTTGATGCACGTGTATGTTGTTTTTTAATTGAATTAATTAATTGTTGATCAATATAAATAGTTGATGTATCAGATGTTTGTCTTGAATGTGCATAATGTGCTGGAACTTTAGGTAAAACTTTTGATAATGATTCAGTTGGAATTGTATTAACAATATGATGACGTTGTTGTTGATTCTGTTGTTGAAATGTTCGATGAAGAATTTTATAAAATTCTCGACTATTTAAACCATGTGATGGTGTTGTTGTTGCTGCTATATCATCATGATTTATTAAATTATCAATAATTTGTTTATATGCACGTTGATTTTCATTTGTTATTTCAATAATTTGTCTATAAATTGTATCAGCACCACTATAATCAAATATTCCTATAGTTGATATACGAGATATTTTATTTAAACATCGACCTAATTTTTGACGATTAAGAGTAAATATATAAGGAATATTTTGTTCTTTACATAGATTAATTATTTGTTCAATAGCATCATTAAGACCACCTTGACTTTGAATGGATTGACAATCAGGTGCAATTAAAACACATTTTAAACGTTGTAATCGTAAATGTTTAGTTACTTCACGTATACCATGAACGAAACGACGTTTACGACGTGCACGTTCAGGATTTGATTGAAATTGTTGTTTTTTACGATCTTGAAAACGTTTTAATGTTAATAATAACTGTATACATAATTCATCCAATTGACGATCAATTAATTGTGAACAATATTCACGAAAACCAGCATCATGAATTTGTTGTTTTATATTTGATTGAGGAATTTGATGAGCATAGGGTGTTTGTAATTGACTTGTAGGTTCATGATCAATTATTTCATCATCATCATCATCATCATCATCATCATCGTCCTCGTCATCATTATCATCACTTCCATTATTAGATTCTTCTGTACATGATGCACTTGTATCTTCAGTCATATTAATAGGCAACTGGCTAATAGAAGGATCATTGATGTATCTAAAACGAATACAATATATACTGTGAACTTTTTTT